AATCTGAGGGGGCATTCAACATGAGTCTCCTCAATTAATTTGTTCCGTGCGTAGGAGCTGAAGCGTCCCCCCTGCACTCCTATGACTTAGTGCGTCTGAGGTCCAATTGGCTGAAGGCGACGGGCTATACATGCACACCTACACAAGTGACTGGCGTACGCACGGCACAAATTAATTGAGTAGACTCATGTTGAATGCCCCCTCAGATTATTTCTGTTGCCCAAGAGGACAACTTGGCCGGGAAATGGTATAGTCTACACCTATAGACTGCATAAAACGCGGACAGCACTTGATCAGTTTCGAGACGGCAAGTGTTCCAGTGACGATGGGATATCATCAGAAGTGTCGTTCCACTACTGAGTGGCACGCGTTTGGTTTGAAGAACAGGTGTTCGCATAAAATAGGTGAAAATTTAACGTACCCCGAATTCGAACACCATAGGCGGCGTCAGGGTCTACGGCTACTTATTAGATACCTTCCCGATCACAAGTGGCGTTTGTCAGGGTTGTCCAATTTCCCCAATTTTGTTCAATTTCGTCGTGGACTACAATGGGGTGCTCCCTTACAAAATCGCACGATGTAGGTGCAGTCTGGTGAAAGGCTAATTGATTTTGATTATGCGGACGATATTGTCTAGCTGTTTAACGATGTTGGGGCGATCTAGTCCACACAGAATAGCCTCTCCAGAATGGTCCCATTATTTGATATGCGCTTCGCGCCACAAAGTGCAGTGTTGTTCCAAGACCACCAGTCAATTGATGTCCCCTTGACTTTTGATGACGAAGAACTCGGTGTAGTTGATCACTTCGCTTACTTTGACAGCTGCATCAGTAACGACGGACGCATAACCACTGAACAATGGGGTATTACGGGTAAAAAAGACAATGCTTAACAAGTCCAGTGGGATGGAAATTAATACGAAAATAAAATTGCATGAAGCGTTTTGGTGGACTCACCATAGACTTATGTAGGATAGTGATGGCGTATTAAAAGTATAAATCCATTGGTTGGGAGTTTGGTAAGAGACCGTTTGATTGCGTTTCGTAGTCCCCTGGCTAACAAGTTATAAAATGAAATGCAAATGAGACAACGCATCGTCAACTCATTTTTTTAAATATCGCCAGATTGAGAGCAGAGAGGACATAACTAGGGAAGGCGTTCCAAGGCTGGCACACGCGGAGGGAAAAAAATTTCTACGGCAATCAAGCCGGCTGTATTGTCAATTTCAGAGGATGACCTCTTAGGTTAGTGTTGTGGTACACTTCCAGCAGCGGACGGCAAATGTGGTTTGGGTTCTTCAGAATCTGGTAAACAATAACGAGATCCCCCTGCAAACGCCGATATCGAGTGTTGTACTTACTTAGATTTCAGTCTAAGCTGATAGGGTAGATGAAAGAGGCCACTGACGCTCTTGGTTGCCCTCCGTCAAGGAGTCTCGAGAACAACGAGATCCTGTTTCTGCCACACCTGGATAGCATATTCTACGTGCGGTCGCACGTAGGCGTTAAGCATTTGGGGGAAAGATTGAGGATTCACTCAGGTCTGAAGGGCCGTGTTTACAAGGCCACAGTGAGGGTCATCCTATTCTATGGCCCCTTCGGTCAGTGGTGCTTTCAAGACTTTGATCATCGCTGTCTGAGAAGCACTGATGGTGTCAGATGATATCAGCGTGTGTGAAACGATAATGTGCGTAGACGACTGTTTGGCTGATTTGAGACTAGTTCCTTAGAACAACAGATAGCACTGAATAAGTTATATTGGCTCGGGCACTTACTAGGTATGCCACGTCACCGCTTACCGAGGATGGCTATGTTTTGTTTGCCAGATGTAGGGTGGGACAAATCTCGAAGCGGACAGTTGTTAACTTGGCAGTGGGAAAGGAAGTCATTGACGACCAAACTTGGTGCCGCCTCGCCTTCCAGACTAAAGTCCACGTGACATGCCTTGTGCTTGGTTCGAGACGTTACAGGCCACGGCTCGCAGTCTGCACTAGTGGCGCGTTTGCTGACATCTCCTAGTCAGACTGTTAATGGTGTTTGGTACGGCTGATTACGAAGCGGGGCAGTGAAAGTCGCAAGACAGCTGTTTCGCTGATGCCGCCTTATCTGCATGATAGCCCGCTGCTTGTGATAGTATGCTGTCGACAAGGTGTATGTGCCTTCATCCTGAGTGTTTGCTTAGGGCACTAAGGCCTTAGGCAAGGTCCTTATTCTCACCTCGCTCCTTAGGTCACTGTGGTTGGACGGCAGTGAAGCATCAGTTCAAATAGCCGAAGTACTGCTGTTGTTGATGTAGAACTTGTGCCAGATGAGCTGAAAGATGCGCTTTCGCTACCATTGTACAACAGCATAGGGCGGAAACAATGTGCCAACATTTATCGTTGCATCGACTTACTAAGCTGCGTCTACCTAATGATGGCCCGGATTCTATTCCACCGCCTCGTTATTCAGGTCCTTGAACCAAACGTGGTTAGAGGGCAGTGCGGATTCCGCTCGTACCGGCGAGGCCCGTCGAAAATGCGGCAACATAAACTCACAAGCACTTGTATAGACCAAGTGCGGCGACCATGCAATACGTGCCATGTCTACTGCATTGTTTGGCTCAGCTAGTAAATGAAGACGCCATTACCGTTATTACGTCGTGCTGACATACTAATTTAACTTAACCGTCGTCCGGTCGACATTTAACCTTCCTGGATACCTTGATGACTTACTAAACTAACTCGGCTGAGGTACACACGACCGCATGTGCTACAGCGCCAGGTGCATGATGTCAACGGACCAGGATACATCGACATTTGACGCTTGTGCAACCGGTGTTTTACCTCCTGATGTAATAGTCCTCTCTCGTGCACCAGAGAAACGCCATTATTGATGTGTTCACATCACTGGCAGCGAGCCACTGCCATTGTTCTCAAACATCTAAAGCCAACAGTAGTCGTTAGTAAACTTACCTCGGTTTGCCAATAGTTCGCTTACCAGAATGCAGTTAGCCATATAGCAGACGTTTCATCATCCTGGGCATATACATACGGTGGACATGCCCGAACCAGCTCAAGTGTCACACTAGCAGCTTTCATTCCACTCCGTACATGCCGCTGCATCAGGGACCCTGCCACACCAACTTGATGTCGTCCCGCTGGAGTAGGAAGGGAATCCTAATTGCAATCCAGGCGCATTTAATTAAAGGACCTGAGTGGAGCAGAATCCGGGCCATCACGTGACCGCCGCAGCTCAGTAAGTGGATGAAACGATAATTCTCGGCACATTATTTCCTTCCTTGGTTGTTATACAGTGGTAGTAAAAGGACATCTTTCAACCCATGTGGCACTTGTTCATCAAACCGAACGCGTTCCACTAAGTAGTGTTGTGTAGGTAGCATCGTACGTCTACCGATCTCGGTTGCGCCAGGCAATTGCTGGGGCGGGGATTTGGGTTAGAGACAAGAAGGATGAGTCAGATTAAATAGTGACTAGAATGGAGGAGAAAAACGAATGAAGTTGTTGCTTATTCACCCAGCTGCATGCAGTGAACAAGGCAACCGCTTTTCCTCTGCCGCGGGACGATCGATAAAACGTGTATTTGTACTTGTGACTGTCAAATTTCATTGGGCTGGTATCTTGCCAACGCATCCACACCTATGGTATATATATATATATATATATATATATATATATATATATATATATATATATATATAACGAAACCTTTGCATCAGTTGTAAGATAAGCATCGCAACAAAGGTGCGAGAAATCAACAGCAAGTTGTCTCTTAATGCCATCAAAGCGTTATCGTAATACCGGACGAACAGTTATATTTGAAGCAATGAACGGTTGTAAATCCCGTCTGTGAAGAGCCGATAACTTTCAAACCCTGATGACTGGCTAGCAATAAAAGTGAAAGCCGCATGAGCCTCATCGACTGGCATGAGTACATATTTGACGGTCATCGACATTGGTTTGGTGTCGCTACATTAGGCGACACCAGCATGACGGAAAAAGCACGAAGATCTGGGTATCTAGTAAAACCCAACGGTTACCGCATGATCATTTTCATTGCAGGAGAGTAACATCCTCAGATTCGAGTTAGATAATAAGCCAGCCGATCGAACAAACTCTGAACGGACAGATTAGATGAAATTCAAGTACCAAAACTGTGCTTATTCATGGACAAAGACACACGATGACACATGGTAAGAGGATAAGAGACGAGCCGAAAACAATAAAAATTCCTTCGGAAACCGGTTTGGGATAATGCGTAAAGTAACTGCAAATGTCACAAAAATGAGCAAATGGAGGAATAATTTTTACAGTATCCGACTTCGGTACGCATCGCACGAATGAGTATGGACCTTATGGCACGAATAAAAGGCGAGGCATGGGTGATAAATAACAAATACATAAGCGAGAATAGACAGAGGCTCAAAAGGCGGCCTTCAGTATGACAGGAAACCAATAAAAACGAGGAATGATAGCGATGAAAGTACTTTGTGACGATTAAGCATGGGGAACAAAGATTGTCTAATGTGAGAGTTGAAATACATATGCTACAAGACTGTGCGCGATATCTCAATGCATGAGTTTATCTTGTGGATGGATCGCTTTGGTAGCTGTAATGGTCAACCGTTGAATTAAACGTAGAACCATCAGATGATTCAGTTAAGCTTGTCTCGGCTGTCATCGGTGCGTCCTGTGACTGACTGCTGGGAGATGGAGGACGTCGTAAATTGCTCACTCTACGAACACGTCCAGCACTAATAGTACAGCCGTCATTTACATTAGTTTTGCCATCTGGGGCTTCACCTTTAAAAATAAAATTTGGCGGGTTAACGTCACAACGAGCAACTGTGTTCGTACCTACACATGTAGACGGAGTGCCAGATGTGTGCGGATCGAAGTTTTGTGCCGCATTCCGAGAGACGGTATTAGGCGTTGTAGTAGGGTAACAAGGTGGCACCGAAGTGCTATGAGCAACGATCGGTAGCACGGTGTTAGTGTTGAATCCAGATGAATGATTCGAGATGGTGCTCACTGTAGAGAAAAGATGGGACCCCGTGAACAACTGTCCACGGTACTGAAAATGAGTCTTTAAATGCGACAACACGTTGCTCAAAACGGGATATCGGTTGCGAGCTATGGAAAACCTGACAGCCGACGTACGTTCGCGTTTTTCTCGACATAGATGACAGTAGAATATCCCTGTAACGCGTTTCACACCCTCCGGTGTGGTTGAAATCTCCATCTCCATATCAAAATCCCGCCCCCGGACCAAATGAGCATTGAGAAATTGCCTGGAAGCTAGACGAGTAGCACTAGCAGAAGAATGCTGCTTAAGCCGATCTAAATCCACTACCTCTTCATCATAATGTGTCATTGAATAGTTGGAATTTGGTGAGTTGGAGGGCACAGACGTAGTAATAGAACGCCCGGACACGGCTGCTACAAGTCGAACCGCTTGTTGAGTGGACGAGTTTGGTTCGACAGGAAAACCTGAACTGAGAGATTGGGGCAGTTCAAGTGTGTTTGTATGATGCTCACTAGCAGCTGCGGGCAGATCAGATCCGCTGGTGTAGGCTGAAACTTGAGTGGAACTATCTGTCTTTTGGATTTGCAACGAATAGTCATTATTTGACGCGGCGATGGCTGCTGCTTGGAAAGCTGCGGCCATGATGGCGACAGTGTCGGAGGCAGGGACTGAATGATCAATTGGCGACTGAGAATGCAAAGAAGATGCATTCATTTGCTTTACGCGATGCTCAGCACATTGAGCCATACCAATGGATGCAGGCGACGATGCGATCATCGATTGGGATAAGGCAGGTGGGCTGATTGATGAAGGTGCGTTGTGTAGGGCAGGCAACCCATAGACACTGGACAGCATCAAAAAAGGATTCGCGTTGGAAGCAGAAGGTATCGACAATTCAGTCTGTGAGGCTGTGTCAACCCGGCCACTGCCGTTAGGCGTTACACTGTCAGGAGAAGTAGGAGCAGGGGTAAGAACAAATTTAGTCTTTATTTCATCCGCTGCCAACAGAAGACCACATATAGCACCCGACGGAAGGCGAAAATGTTCAGGGAACTGCGCAAAGACGGGCCCAATAAAAAATTCCCGGAGTTGAATGGGATCCATCAGCATACAGGCATGCCCGACGAAATCCTCCAGCCGTTGTATCTGAGCCTCACTCAAGCAAGCCAACACATGAGGCGATGTGAATCCTGCCAGCTCCAAACATCGTACAATGGAGTCAGATGGGACGTACTTTCGTATTAAATCACGTATGTCTGGGTCAATTTTGATCAGATTCAATTGGGATAAAACCTGGGGAACCGAGAGCGCAGTGGGACCCTCCGATGAATATAGGTCGGTTCTTGCATTTGTAGACGTATCTGAAGCATGGTGTTGCGGATCGTCTTTCGGCTGAGGAGTCACTATGCGCGAGAGTGGAGATATCCGCACACGTTTCCGACGACTCGGAACGGATTGCGCAGAGTGAGATACAGGGATGTCTGTGGGGTGGCCGTTTTGACCGGGTATCCGGTTTGCTTTGGAACAATTTGACGATGCAGGATCGCAATTCAGACGACCTCGCTGAGCGTCAGAAGGAATTTCAAAAGTAGGATCTTCTTCTGGCAAACAAGGATCTACGGAGAGTGTCGAAGTCCGCTGCATTAGACATCCAAAATCTCCAAGGACGTGACTAGACGAAGCTAAAAGTGCGAAAGTGGAAGGTTAGCGAAAGACTTCATACATTGTACCGTATAGTTCGAGAGCAATGGCAAAAATCAATCAAAAACTGACTAAATAGTATATGTAATCGCTGGAATATGAGTGATGTTAAAAAATGCAACTGGTCCATCTTTGCAGACTCATGTACGCTGCCTGTATATTAAACCATTATGTCGCTACAAGTCCAATCATCCCAACAGTATCAAACAAAACAATTGACTCCGGGCGTCATCCTTGCGACCGCTAAGTCTAATTTGTGAGTGAGTACTCAGTGAGTTCTGGAAGGATTCAAGGTTCTGAAAATCGTGGACAAGCCAAGGACAACACCACAAAGGGTTTCGAGCTTCAGGAAAAATGGAGGACGTTAAAGGAGAGATGATGTATTACCATCAAGGCTAAGTAGAAAGCAGCCGTCTGAAGTAAATAAAAGCAAAACAACCCCGTATGAAAGCCGCTCTGAAACCTTCACCAAAATCAATAAGTACAGTGAAAAATAGTTGAGCTCATTCCAAAAATACGTATACCGCAACTGGAAGTGCAACACATTCATCAATAATAGGTTGTTGCGACAGAATATTGTCGTACTTCAGCTACCCTGTCGTCTCGTTTTAGAGCCAAACAATTTAGCTGGAGAACCAAAACGATCCCCTGTAAGGGTTTGGAAAACCCAATGGCATGTTAGAAACGCATGACCATGAATATCACATCAAACTTAAGCTTCAGTGAGCACCGATGGTCTCGGAGTATGAAAAGTCGCCTTAACCGAAACAGGCCAGAAACGGAGTGGTGTTTCCACTGATAGTACGGATAACCGATGAAGCCACTCTGGTCACGATACAGCCACCTTCTAAATGAGAAAACAAAGGCCTGTGGTGGAACTTGTATGGAACATTCGGGAGAAAGCATGTACAGCCAAAATATATAGTTCATGAGAGGAAAGAGCTAATTGAAAGTTCTTGACTATGGTAACTACTAGCTGCGCAAAAACTCGCTTGTTGGCTGAGCAGATAGTGTGCTTACTAGAGGGCTTCAAGGCAGGTCATTCTGATTGGTCCACCTCAAGGTAAAACGATGCTATTGGCTTACTCCCATTGATTAACAAATCGGCTACAGGCGGCATACAACCAATCTTCTCCGGGCTGCTCCAGACGGAGGGAGAGAGAACTAGCTTTGATGGCTGCTATGGACGGGCCCCGGTAACACGGAGGTTCAGGAAGCTGGAGTGTAATCTATAGATCACCGACCCGAGTGTAAGTGACCTAGAAAAATCCCTAACCTATACGCGGCCACCGGTAGTTAGTATACGTTTCCGGAGTTATGAGTTAACTTATCTGGTAGGCAGCCAAGAGGATAGCATCGCGACAAGACTGGATCTAAACATGGTTCAATGGCTAATGCGCCTCAAAGACCCACTGAATCGTGCTGGGTGTTGCTTCTGCACCTACACAGCCACCCATACCAAACTGGTCAATGGATAAAGGCCAGACTATCCCGGTGTCCTGGCCTTCGAGGTCGAAGGTTACGGGGATAGTGCCTCTTTATTCCATGAAACGGACTCTAAGTAGCCCAGTGCCAAAACCCCGATGGCCTGTGGCCAGGGTTTTGAACCAATGGCTGGTTGAGAATGCTAATCGTTCTCCTGTCCAGGTTTCGGCAACCTAACAGTAACCTACTCACGCAATACAATGAACACCTTTTCGCAGTTCCTTCATGCTCTGGCCATCGCACGGGATAATCTATGACGCCCTATCTGATGCATCGAGAAGGGCGGATAAGGGTTTGGATGCTACTGCTTGAGCATTCTCGTCTTTTTATTCCCCTCTTTTTCACATTTTCATTCTTATCGTTCCTTACCAGCTTCATTATTGTCCCTCCTGTTTCCAACCCCAAAATTTTGGCCCCTTTCCATCTTGCATCGATAGTCGCATGTGTTCTAATTTCCACTCACAAGCCATCGCAGTGCATCGCTCTGGTCCAGTCGACAGGCTCAATCAAGCGGAAGACAGTTCATCCGTTTCTATTTCGAGCTTTTGATACGATGAATACTGACATGCCACAAAGCGCGCATGGTTACAGATTAGCCAACAGGCAGCATTTACTTACGACTTGTCGGAACCCCCTGTAAGACTCCAGCTCTGTGCTCACCTTACGATCCTCTGTATTGGACACAGGGCCGGTCCGTAACCTTAAGGATAACAAGTCTGCCTTTTGATCCGAGAGCGCGGGTTCGAGGCTGTGTAGGGGCAGGACGATCCTCGCAGTATCCTCAGCCCACGTGTGACTATGGTCGCACGGCAACGGCAGCGAAGCGTCGATGCTACCTACCGGCATACTGCTGATGGCTCTTATATGGGACATCGGAGATGCTTTCTCATTGTGCTTCTTCGGAGATAAGGCAGCTCTAAACGTTGGTAAGACCGGTGTAGCCGTGATTCTGAGTCCCTGGGTTGAAGCTGCCTTTATCAACTGGATCCAAATCAACAGCCGGATGCGCGCTATCAGATTGACTAGCTCGTGCAAAACTTCGAAGTCGTGCGGGGACAAATGCTACTCTTTTGTTACTGCTGCCTACACAACTACAAGTTGTAGCGCTCACTCGGTGAAAGAAGACTTCTAGCATTAACTGAACGCACTCGTTCGTTACAGAAAATGTATGGATACCGCAGTTCTGGATGATGATTTAAACGACCGTTGAAAAACTATCCATTGATGAGGTGCATCTGAGTGGCCATCAGGGTAAACGCTCCCGAAACGATGACGGTGAGCGGTTGCTACACCTGTGGGAAATGTTCATCTATCTCAAGCGAGCACTAACGTCGGACACAGCAGTAGCGTGGTGCCCACCGGTCTCGGAGCAGCCAAGGACACAAATTGATCACATCGCGATCATTTACCGACGGAGAGGCTGTGTCTAAAACTGATGATACAAAAGCAGCAAAGGCGTGGATCCCGATCAAGCGTTTGTAAGTGCTGACCACCAGGTACGTTTCGATGGACGCACACGGCCAGAATGTGAGCGCATATGGTTGGCGACATCCGGTTCTGGAGTAGCCTGTCACTGTGGCCACCATAGGACAGCGACAGGACGCCTGCGCCTACAGAGGGACCATGGGTGGCTTGCGCTGCACCACCCACAGCTCCATCCACACACCCCATATCCAGTGTAAACCCGAAGGAATAAGACCGGGAGGCACTTGGATGGGAGCCACGTTTCATCAACGGAGCCGGCCCACACTCCTTCACAGGCAAACACAAGCACGCTGTATTTGGGGAGCAGAGTGCACATCAAGCGGTGGCTGGAACGTAGTCCGCTCCACACTGAGTGCATGAAACCACCCTTAGAGACTAGCACGGCCACGAAGACCGTACACCCTGTCCCCTCCAGCAACGAGCAACTGTCTCCTGGAGCCAGTACAGATGAGGTAGTGGGTAAAAGACAGGTAGGCATCTTGTTAACATGAACATCAAGCGCAGTCACACCGGGGATGTCAAGCAACAGCCAATCACTTGAAATGACAGTATCACATAAAATAAATCGCAAATACTATACGCATATGCCAACATAACTCTTCGCTAAATGAACATATGAAACAAATTGGTTATCAACAAATCCGCGATAAGTAAAAGGTCAAAAAAGATATTTAAAAAATGCCACAAAGGTGAAAAAGTTAACGAAGTTAACCAGAGTTAGCTTGAGCGACGTGTGCAGGTTAATAGAAGATTATTCAGGTAGACGAATAGATAAGGTAAAAAAAGCATTAAGACAAGATGACAAACCAATTACCTGAAATAAAGAAACTCAGCATGCAAGCACGCGGTTAGTAAATCGAATGCAGCGTACCTACCAACGCTGCGCCGGTTCTGCTTACGTTCTCAGCAGGACTCGTCGTCGTTTCGATGCTGGTCCCGAGTGGCCTCGCTCGTGGCTCACTAGGCCTGCCTGACTCAGGCACTCGCGACCGCATGTGCTACAGCACCATGCGCTCGACGTCGATGGAGTACACTCTATCGGCGTTAGCCGCTTCTTCCGCTGCACTTCGGCAACTGCCTTCGTGATCAGATCGCGCCATGCACACCGATCAACCGCCTTCGATTCCCAACACCTGAAATCAACATTAGAACGTGATAGGCTCACTTTGATCATGTCCTGGTAACGAAGCTTCGGTTTCCCCACATGCCGCTTCCCAACACTCAGCTGACCATATAACAGCTGCTTCGGTATCCGCGTCGAATCCATACGGCACACATGACCGAGCCACCTCAGGTGTCTCAGCAAAAGTATGCAGTCCACTGCATACATTCCACTTCGGCGCAACACTTCCGTGTCTGCAACTCTGTCGCACCAACCGATGCGCAGAATCCGTCGCAGACACTGTTGATGAAACCGCTCGAGATATCTCACATCTCGCTGGTACATCGTCCACGTTTCGCTGCCGTATAGAAGAACGGACAGCACCATGGATTTGTACACCATCAGCTTCGTGCCAACGGTAAGCTGGTGGTTGTTCCACACTCGGTACTCTAGCTTCCCGAATGCCGCCGCTGCCTTCGATACGCGGATACGAAGCTCACTGTGAATTTGTTGGTCAGTCGAAACCACACTCCCAAGGTAGCAGAAGCGGGAGGTGGTTTCCAATACTTCATCACCAATGCTGATTTGCGGCAATATTGCAGATTGCACCTCCGGTGAAGGCTGAAAGAGACAGACAGTTTTGCTTGTGTTGATGGTGAGCCCGAATTTGGCCGCTGTCGAAGCCAGAGCACTAGTCATGTGCTGCAACTCATCCGCGCTGTGTGCAAACAAAGCACAATTGTTAGCGAACAGCAACATATGGATAGTTGTCTCACATCGCATCGAAACGACGGATATTCAGCAACCCACCATCAATACGGTGCTCCACACGAACACCGTAAGCACAAGCCGCATCAAACGCATGGCATGAAGATAAATATTAAACAGGGGGGGACTAAGACACAGGCTT